TATATATATAGAAAAGTCGCATTGCAAGTGCATCGCATTGAATATATACAGAAATGCTTGGCTAGAGTATCGACAGTGTAGCGGTTGAAAAGCGGATGTCGGTACTTTTCGGCGGCAAAATTTATGTTGACCCAAACGCGGGCAGCCGTTTTCATGGCCCATGGCAACTGCGAGCGTCGAACTGTAAAATTATAAAGATGCGCCGCCGACAAACGGAAGCGCGTGTTTAAGGTTAGGAGTACAGGGCCAACACCAAGCTGGCAGCTGTCAGGGAAACTTACAATTAATTGAACTTCGAAATTGTTGTTTCTCGAGGAGCACTTGGTAATATGATATTGAATATTGAAAATAGCTCAGCCATCAGAGTGTTGTAATAAATTGTTGGATAATTTCATCAGATTATAGGAAAAATTAAAGTTTCTAAGCATCAAAGATTAAAACTGGTTTCCAGCTGCAGTTCTAAAAGAAAATGTCATTAATAATCTATAAAAATTCGTTAGTACAACTCACCACAAAATTAAGGAGAAAAAAAATATTTTATAGTTTGCCAATTGACGACTAAGTGCAGCAACAACTACAAAGGGAAGCAAACCATTAATCCAGCCAACGTTAAAATGGAAACTTACCATTAATCTGAAAGGCATCGAACTTGCCAATTGGAACTCTACATGCTGCATAAAGATCTGAGACTATCGCCAATAGAGCTACCAGAGAGAAACTAATCATTAATCTGGCAGACTAAGTAAAACATAACTTACCTAATATGTATTAAGTATCTGAGGGACAGCGCAACTGGAGTTGCTCAAAGTACTCTATAACTAAGTGCGGATACTTGTCAATGACAGAACAGAGTGACACAGCATCGGGTGTTGTGACTGTTTTCCACTTGACCACCAGATAGGTTTCGCCTCGCATCTTGAACACCTTAAGGACTTTCTCCATTGTCAGTCCACGTTGGAAGCCCTGGACGCGAGCTTGTACGTTTAGTGCATCATCCCACCTGCCCATTTCGTGGAGTCGATAATCGCATTCGGTTTGAGCAGGGGCAGCGTTGCTGCTGCTGTCGGCACTTGTGCTGTCCTCCGGTGCTTCGGACAGGTTTGGTAATGGAGCTGGTATGTCTTGTGTATGCTCAACTGTCATGGCCTTAGGTTTGTTAGAATTAGAACTCTTTTTTGGAGATGTATCCATAGTCAGCGGCAGCGCATCAGAGTGACTTTTCTTCGATGATTTCGGTTGACTTTGCGACTTTTTCTTGCGCTTGCTGCTGTCCTCATCTGAAGCTCCAGGCTTCTGGGATGATTTATGTAAATTATCGCTTGCATGCTCATTGTTCTCCTTCATATAACACGAGCTTTTGGATAAATCCTGCACATCGAGACTGGCTGTCGACATGGGTTCCACCTTTGAGATTTTCACAGAATCGGGAGGATTTAGATTCATGACGGAGCTTCGCTTATAAATATTTTTCGAAGCAATATTTTTATCATTAGTTTTAACAGGTTGTTCTGATTGGGACAGGTCAAGTGGTTCAAATTGCGATAGTGGTACTGATGGGTCCAATGGCTTAAGTGATGGACGTGGCACAATTGTTGCAGCTGGTTTAAGTGATGCAATTCTTGCAAGTGGTGGAGTTGCTGCACGTGCAGGTGGAGCAAGAGACGATAGTGGTGGCTTATGTGCAGCTAGTGACGGCTGTGTAAGTAAAGGCATTGACACTGGCCTTATCTTTGGCTTCTTTGACGCCTCTGGTTTCTTCCTTGAAGCCGCTAGTGGCCTATTTGGAGGTGCTGGTGGCATCTTTGGAGCAGCTGGTGGCATCTTTAAGCCCGCTGGTGGCATCTTTGGAGCCGCTGATGTTACTGGCGGCATCTTTGGAGCTGCTGGTGCCACTGACGGCATCCTTGGAGCCACTGGTGCCACTGGCGGCATCATTGGAGCCGCTGCTGCCATTGGCAGCATCTTTGGAGCCGCTGATGGCACTGGTTTCGGCAGTGATGTGGCGTTATCATCAGAATCACCATCGCTGCTTAGATTAGGTTTGGGTGGCAAATTCAGATCGCTAAGAAATGCACTAGACGACGTAGGCTTAGATTTTGGATTTGGCTTCCGACGCTTTGCACCGTCGCTGTCACTGTCGCTACCGCTGCTGTTACTGCTGCTGCTGCTGCTGCTACTACTGCTGCCACTGACACTTTCCTTATCGCTGTCATTGCCGGCGCAGTCGCTGCTGTCGCTACTGACCATAAGATCCTGACATAAATCTGAAGACAGATCTATTTGGTTCATTGGTTCAAACTTCTGATTTGGCTGCTGCTTCTTTGGCTTCTTTCGCTGCTGAGGCTTCTGTGTCTTTTTATATTCCATTTCTTGCTTCAGTGGGGATGAGTCAAAAACACTTTGACGTCGGTCGGACCCTCGAGTTTGAGCGTTTAACTTTGCAAATTCAGCTGCCTCGAAGTCCGCCAGCATTGACAGACAATCACCGCTCAAGTTCTCAATGGGCTCCCAGGTGCTTTGCTGTAATGGATAACCGACCCATTTTAACAATAGTTGCGGTCGCCCATCCGCGTAGCGTTTGGCCAATATTTGTTCGACATTGTGCGTCCATTTAGTTGGCTTTTTAGCCTTTCCCCTATTCAGTTTACGCTTCTTGGCAGAGCGATTGGCCGCAGATGAGCCAGAGGGCAAACCATCAGACATTTCTAATGCAAATTCATATTGGATAGCACAAAACGTGTGACAATTTAAATAGGATAATGGATGCACGGACAGACAATCACAGTTTATATAAATGCAACAATTCACCTTACCTGACGTTTAGCAGTGAAATCAAATGCGGAAAATTTTTAACTTATAAAAGAGAAATTAGAAGCGTCTTTCTTTCAACTCACACACAATAAGAAATATGTTTGCCTAGCGATGCCAGATTTCAAAGTTCAAGTATCGATAACAGAAGTATGACATCTGACAAAGGGCTTTCTCAGTCTTTATCTACTATCGATAGACAGTACACAATGAAATTAATTGAAAGAATTAAAAACATAACAGAATGACAATGTGCCTTGGTAGGTGTAGTTTCCGTTAAAATATATAATATCTATTTTGTATTTAGTAGCAAACAATATACGTATGTGCATACATATACCCTATGTAGGTTTAACAAAAGGCGCAAGCAATAAAAGAGAATGAAATTACATTTATGTATGTATGTACATACGTATGTATGTATGTATATGCGTACAATTCTACATTTCATGCTCTTTTTCGAACCCAGCGAATTAAACGGCTAACAAATTACATTATAATTGTATGTAAATACTTTTCTTTATTAAAAAATAAAAAACAGTGTATTTTCAAAGCGTATACTCTACTGAAACAACTGTAGGCTTACTTGTTTTTCGAACTCCTTTTAGAGCACAAAAGCTGCAAAAGCAATTGCACTTAACTATAGCGGAAATAATGTGCACTGCATACGAAAAAAATGCAAGTATTTTAATTGGCCATTGGCATAAATGCCAGCATGTTGATTTTATACATTTTTTTTTTTTTTTTTTTTTTTTTTTTTTGGCATGTTGCTACAATGGCATGGCTCTATGTTAATGTAACTTTTCACTGCTACAAAGCGAGTTTTGCATGCATATGTGTGTGTGTATGTTGTATGCATGTGTGCGTAGCCATAGTTCGTGGACAATGTCATTGGAATGTTTCTCATCATTAAAGCGCTGAAAACCGCAAATTAAGAAAAAGAAAACCCGCTGCCAATTACTCAAACATGTGTGCAGTCAACAAATAAATAAACTTTACTTTCCGCTTGTTTTTATAGGGCTAGTTATTTGTTATATTTGACTGCGTACTAGACTTGTTTATCAACTCTGAAAGCTCATGTGTGACAGTTTCATAAAAAAGATCGCTAGAGGGACAGAAAGAGAGAGAGAGAGAGAGAGAGAGGCAAAACGGCAGACACTTGATTAACCTGCTATGTTTTTGTGCCCACTTCTTTCACTTTCTTTCAGCATGCAGCCGCCACACATATGTACATATCTTTAGCGGCATCTCTATCTAACACACTTGTGTGTGCATGTGTGCGTGTATACTTTAATTCGATCAAATTAACAATGTGACGAGCATGGCTGGAAAAAGTGAAATGGCGCACATTTTGAGTGCTACAAGGGTAACCTCAAGGGTTTTCAAAGTCAGCCCATGAGCGGATTCACTTTCGTTTTCTTTATTGTTACAAAATATCAGCAGCTCTCTATAGACAATCTACTCACACACACGCACACCGACGTACTTGTGTACATATTTAGTGTTTTAATTTGCATAGTTGCTGGCAAAAAAAAACACACACACAAAAAATGCGCTCAGAAACTTGTTTGTTGTTTTTTGTATGGTAACACGCGCGACAAAATGTTAGTATATGAAATGAATATAGATTTCCAAGAGTTGTATTTCTTGATTTCGAATTAATAAGTATTATACATATATTTATCTGCCTATGTGTCTGTATGTTTGTTTATATGTAAGTTATTCCACAGAGCTCATCAGCTCTTCATTAGCTAAGTTAATTTCATTAGCGTTGTTTTTGTTCGACTTGCTTACCATAGCTGATTTTTTTTTTTTTTTTTTTTTTTTTTTTTTTTTTTGGTTTTGTTTTGTTTTTATTTTACTGAAATTCATATGCTCTCTGCGGTTTTTACGCTGCTTTGATTTCTGTTTCGGTATTGAATTTGATGTTAGTAGAAAGGTTTTGTCATCTTTTGTTTTTGTTGTAGATTCGTTACGTAAGAATATTTGATTTACATACAAGCATAGCTTTGTTTTCTATCAATTTTGAAATGGTCGTTGGGGCAGTCATTCAGTCTGCTGTATCTTTTAATCAGTTTATAAATTATGTCAATATATAATTATATCATGTTTTACATATTTGTTTGTAAATAATATATGATTTCTAATCAATATTAATTATGTAAAGATTAATTACACATTTTTTAATAATCGTGACAACGTGATGTGTCTCTTTGAATAGGCCATCTTTAGTTTTGAACATGGTGGCATCTCTGCGACCGCGGCAAAAAGAAAGGATAATTGAGAAGAGAAAACGAGAATTCAAGACAAGCAACAAGTGCAAGCAAGTTCGAATCATTGTCAGTCCTTCATATTGCATTCGAATTCGAGTTTTCGAAAAACGGTTTTTCACAGCTAAAAGCAAAGAACAAAGCAGCTCGTATTTGTTTAGTGTGGCAAATCATCACAGCTCGCTTTGATTGCATTCGCATTTAACCGTTAAGTCAACAAACAACTTGTAACGCATTGCACACAGGATGACAATGATTTTATTGACACATTGACATTATAACACACTTATAAAGCGAAGTCATCTTGTTACAACAATCGTCGTAAAAGGTTGCCGAAAAAGGGGCGAAAAACAACGGTAACTTTGAAGAGGCAAATACATGCAGGTACACATGTATGCATTTATGTATGTACAAGCTTGCGTAAATAAATACATACATACATATGTACATATATGTATTTAAGTAGTATGTATTTTAGTATTTAAGTATTTATTTAACGTTTTTATTTTGTTAATATTTGTATAAGTTGTGGAGAGTTAAGCTTGAGCTGCGGAAGTACGTGTTTTATTTATTTGTGAGCTTATTAGTGGTTAAGTTTTCTTTCTTTCTGTTGTTTTTTCACTTTTAGTTCTTCGTGACAAATGTCGACAATTCTTTATATTAAAACTCTTAATTTTTAAACACGCATTTATTGTGTCATATCATCTTTATTTTTTGTTTTTGTATCTCTAGGCTCTTCAGCTGCTAGACCTCGACGGAGTTCCGGCTGGTAAAGGCCGAGATAAATTAGCATGACATGAATCAGCAGCACAGGCAAAATACTGCTTTCAATTAAACATAAAATGGTACCTAAGAGATAACAGCGACAAAACAAGAACAACAACTACGAGCGCACGACTGTCAGATACTCTCTGTGGATTACTTGATACGTGTGCAAACTCTTATAACTTGCGATATATGTTTACATAATGGAAATAAATATCGATGTGCGAAGGGAATACGGCGATCGATGATTTTGGAACTTGTGGCAAAGGATAAAAGCTACCGATGATTTGTCAATAGCGTGCAATATTGCACGTCTCCAGCTCTGTTAGGCCATTAAAGCGGGAACACAAGAATAATAATAGACAATGCCTGCGACAATAATCTGACTGAAAAGCCCGCGGGTTTTCAAAAGATTCAATTTTAATTTTTATTCGTATACCGACTTGTTGTGCGATGGTACGTAAATATAATTAAAAAAAAAATCATATGTAAAACTCACTCACCTTGTGCGATGCTGCCGCTGACACAGCAAAAGACGATGAAGAAGCTGAGGCTGACGCTGAGGCTCCACAGCGACGGCGTCAGCAGCGACGCCGGCAGTGACGCCCGCTTTGGCTTGACAGGCATTTTTTGTTGTTGTATATTTTGTAGCTTCAAAGTTATCCAAAAAGGTTTTTGTTTTTTAAATTTTGCAACTTGCTTGTAATTTTGTATTTCTTATCGTTGTATTTAGCAAAACAATTTGTAATTTATTAGCAATTTATTTGATTGCTCGGTATTTGCATTTTGTTGTTTTTTTGTTCACATTTGATCAAATATTAAGCTACTCGTTTAACTGGTTTTTATTTATGTATATTTTGCTGTATATTTAAATTAAACACACACACATAAAATATTGGCGAAGAATTCGATTTAGATACCGTTATAAAGTAATTAAAAGCGAAATTATGATTTCATTCCATTGTTCGATAAACGAAAGGGGATCAAAAAGTTCAAGGTTTATTATAGGTATAAAAGTAACAGGAAAATATGGGGAAAATTCTATATAAAAATGTTGAGATTTAAATGCGGAATAGATAATATACATATATTTATATATTCAAAATTTTTGAATAATTTTTATACATTTCTGTCCTTTTGCTTTGTCATTTCTTTATCTATAAACATTTGTTTGCAGCCATAAATTTAAGCTAATTTCTTAAAGAAACACAAAAGGTGTGAAACATGTTTCGATCCCACTGTCCGTAAACAGGGAACGAGAGTGAGGGAGAAAGATACTGGGAGAGAGTGAGGGAATGAGAACAGCGATTGCTGTTGACCTTCACTTATTACTTAATGTGTTTGTTGTTGCCGTTTTTGTTGCAAGCTTTTAATTAATATTTTTAATTAATAGATATTTTTTATTCTTCGGCAGTTTCTATGTGGGGAGGTCAGGCAAATCGAAAAGACTATGCTAATTTTCCATTGGCTAAGAACATAAACAAGCCTATGGTGTGGGTGCTTTTAATTGGCCAACAAGTGCAGTCAGGCAAATAAAGAAAAAATGAAGAGGCATGCACAGTGTGACCACACAGCGTGATTCAAGTTGTTAAAAACCAAACTGGATTTCAATGCAAAGTGAAATTTTCCACACATAATCATATACACATACATATATGCATGCACATACACATACACGCATACACATATAAGTAAGAGCGCTCACAAACAAATTCGAATAACAACAACAGCCGTAATGACCGAGTGACTTTACTGTTAACTGGGCAAAGGGGGCAGGGAGTGATAGAGTGGGAGAGGAGTGCGCAGGGTTTTAGTCTGTGATGACGTTTGGCTCGAGCGTAATGCAAAATTACGCGCTTTGCATAAAGAAGTTGGCGAACGCACCGAATTCCGATTTAGAGCCGTGCTCTGCTAATGGAAACCGTTCGATGACCGAACAAACGAGCGATCGGCTATTAAGGTTGCGCCGGACGCACTTGTTCCTCTCAGGCATTCAAATACCAATACACTCACAAGCACAATCACAGTTTCTATATTGTAGATATACGTAAAGCGCAGTCGAAATCGAAGTTGATGTCGAACCGTGGTCAACAACCGAGCTGAGACGCGTTTCGAATTGAACTAAAACTGAACAGAAGAATGGTAGCGCACAAACGGTGAGCGAGCAAAGCGACGGCAAAAGAAAAACACGTTTCAGACACAAGCAAGACAGCTTAAAAGAGAGCGAGAGCGGGAGAGGCAGCCGCAGCTGGAGAGCCGAAATGTGAGTGGGAGAGTCGAAAAGTTGCAGTTAAGCTAACAGCGCGTGGCTGCTTTTAGCACTCACATTAGGCCAAGACATGGGCTCTTGTCTGTTTGATTTCAGGGTTGTCAGGTGTTTAACAGACTTTGAGATATTCCAGTACGCTAATTTTTTGAAGAATAATTTTTACATTTCCTATTAGCCAAAATAAAATATTTCCAAGTCGTCAAGTTTAATGTGTTTATTAAATTAATTAGGTATAATAATTTATAAGTAAATTGATTTTTATTGGAGTTGATACTTAATCAAAATATTTTACCTAGCGATGCATTTATACATTTATCTGTATGTTTCACAAAGGTATACAGCTATGTTTAATCTATTTAGAAATAATATTGAGATGGCCACAATAGTCAATACAACAACCCAGTATAAGATGACACTTCGATTTTCGTGGTTACTTAGCCAAGACACAAACCTTAGATGCAGCTTTTTAAAGTTTTAACTGATTTTGCCTAAGAATCTGAAATGAATAAGAAATGAATTTTTAATGTCCTATAAAAATGAAATATTTTTGAATACAAATATACGAAAGTATGAATGCTTAAGCTTATTATATATTTCATAATATTTTATTTGTATATTTATAATTTCCGAAAATTGTTAGTAGGAATCTTGATTTTTTGGCAGAAAATTATGGACACCCATAGCTTCAATCCTGAACCATTTTAGTGATTCCACTGTTCATGAACCATACGTTTTGAGCGTGTTTATTAAATTATCGATATATTGAGCTTACCATTAGAAAGCCCTGCTTAGGGCAATTTATTGCTGCGACACATCTCTAATTGTCTGCAGTCAGTCGATCCATTGACAAGGCTGCATAAGACGACGTACTGTGGAAATATGCTAATGATATGCGCCTAGCTATCAATCCAGATTCAACTCCAAGCAAGAAAAAAAAAAACTAAAACTGCGTCGCATGTCACATGGCCAATTTGTTCACCTGTAGCCCAGCGCTTGCAATGACTATGCAAGTTTTTGTTGACCCAGCCTTCGCTCTCCCTCCTTCTGGCTCTGTCATACATATTTATGTGGATAGGTGCGTGCATGTGTGCGTGTTTGAATATTTACTGTTACAGCTTGAAGTTTTCGATATTTTCATTCAGCCGCCGGCAGCTGAACTTGACAGCTTCGAGACAATTCTTCGCGCAATTTCTTGTACAGCTTAAATCGAAATATTTGCGCCTGACACTTTTGATTTTTTTTCTCCCATTCTGTTTTATTTTTCTGACACTTTCAGTATTCATCTCATATTCTTAAAACTGCCTTATTTTCATGTCATTTCTATTTGTATAAAAAACGCGAAAGATGCGCAAAGAAAAGTAGCAAAACCCAGAATGAAGAGACTGAAGTCGACTAGAATATACCCTAACGAAATGTCTCGAGTAGCGGATTTAATTATTTCCGACCGTGATGAAAATTGCAAAATATTAACAATTATAATATATTTTGTTGTATATGCATTTTAGGTATTTATTTAAAATTTATGTATTTTAATTATACATATATTATTTGTATGCAGTATATTATTCTTCATAGATGGAAGAAATGCCCAAAACATGTATAAACTGACTCAGTTCGACATTGAAATTGCCACTCCACCTGTTACACGCATTAGCACAAATGCAGCATACCCTTTTGCGACTGAGCTTAGGGTATTAAAAAACCGATTTATTTCGTGCATGTCTTTGACCTAGACAGTTGCGTTTTTTTCTATGAGTAATTGTGTGTGATGCTGTATAATGTGTGTGTGTGTGTGCGTGTGTGTATCTCAATGTGTTTGTGTTTGAATTTTCGGCAACTCAAGCTCCTTGAAACTCTCCCTCTCAAAATAAACTACTCTTTGACATTTAGCGTTTCCTATGCAAACTTAACAACACACATATACATAAAGCATACATACATACAATACATATTCACATAAACGCATACATACATACATGTATGAACTATAACCTACTTACAATATACGCAGTTGAGCAACCATTCAATTTTCTAAAGCTTTCAAAGAGAGATTTGCTAAAAATATATGTTTGAAGAGTATTTCTTATCTTCTTGTGTTATTTTACTTGCAAGGCTAATGGGATTTATTAAAACAGAATTCATGTACTAAACTACAATCCAAAGAATTTTAGCATATTTGAATTCAAGTTCAGTTAGCAGCTTTAGCTCCTCTCTCCCTCTCGGTCTAGCTTACACTTTGACATATTTACTCTCTATTGCAATGTGAATAAGAATCTGACTTGAATCTATAGAGCACTGCCGCTTCATCTCCTCTCGCTCTAACTTAAACTGCTACTTTTCGGACACTATGCTCATTATTTCCCAATTGGAATATGAATCCAAATTGGATTCGACTTCACTGAGCAACTGCCCAGCATATCTATCTCGCTCTAACTTATGTTCAACTGGTGGAACATATTTCAACAGACGAAATCTCGGTAGCAAGAAGAGGTTTTTAACAAATTCAAAAAGTGTTTCAAGAACCATATTCCAAAATATGACTTGATGATATAACAATTCAAATATACCCAAAAATATCACTAACAACACACATACATTTAATATATTCCAGTTTAATTCTCAGCATAATTATATGCTCATTTAACAAATGAATTCATATTTATTCTTATTTCATTGCCAAGTTGTAAATATTCAGTTGCTGGCATTCAGTGCGAATGGCGTGCTGTAAAACTTTTCTGAAATATTCCATTTACATGTTCATAAAATGTGCTCGAATAAGTATGCCACAAAATTGTTCATAGCTCTGCTGCTATTCGGAATGTGCCAAAAAGTGGTCTAGAAACACGTACTAAACGCTCCCTTGGGCTGTCCATGTGTCCGCTAGATATATCCCGGATGGAGATAATTTGTCATTATTTTGCATGCAATCGAGTGTAACGGCAACTCCACCAAAGAAAACTTGGCCAACAGCTGGAAAAGTTGTCTAAACGCTTTTAGTTGTCATCATTGAAGCTGGCCAAAACTCGACTTCAGTTTGAGTGAATAAATAAATTTATGGCAAATGATTTATGAATGGCTTAGTGGGTTGACAATTCAAAGGAACTGGAAAACTTTTTCTTAAGCTGAAATGGTTGAATTATATAAGCAAGTATTGAGCATATTTATAAAATATATCAATATATAATACTATATATACATATATGTAGTTTTAAGCTCCGTTTTACATGCATCACATGTACTATGGATTTAAACTATTTTATATTGGATAAAAATCTGAAATTTTGAAATTTTGTTTGGTCTTCTTTAAATATTATTTCTTAATTTTAATTTAAATATTTTAATTTCATTAATAGATTATCTTTAACTTGTGTAATCAGCCTAATTTAATAAATCTTTTATCACTCAATTATTTAATTATATTCTGCCCTAACCCTTGCCGTCTCTTGCCCATAGTGCAATATGCTCAACTGTCAAAGTGTTGGCATTGACTCGAGGGTTTTTCTATCGCTTCAAATTGTTTCTCGACTTCATTCAGCTGTCGTTGGCCCAGCTTAGCCGGGCTTTCTGGCAGCAGCAACAACAACAACAAAGTAGCCAATTCTCAAGTATTTTGCCTTGTCATATGCGCAGCATCCTCGTCAGCCAGCGAATGATGGGGCTACAGTTTACAGTTAACAGTTGACAGTTTAAAGTGAAATGTAACTGTTAAAGTGCACTCAAAGACACATTTCAGCCACAAGCTGCACTAAAGCTGCAAAAGTTAGAGCAAAGTTTAAGGTTGCTAAAACCACATTGTCGACTGAAGATGCGCAGCCCCAAGTAATAAAGATCTATAAATAAACCTGGGTTGAATTTATAAGTCGGTATTTCTATAAATTATTCTGTATAATACATGCATATGTTATTAACTTTTTAAGGTAAAAAAAAAAAAAAAAAAAAA